TTTTTTTTTTTGCATACATCCCTACAGTCTAACTAATCTTTCCACCCGTTAGGATTATCTTCTTCTTTTTTTGTTTCTTAATGTTAATGTGTTTTGTGTGTTTATCCTATAATTATAATTATTGCTACTCCATTGTGTGTGTGTGTTCTTGGAGACTCACTCTGTGTGTGTGTGTGCCTGGGCTTGCACTGTGATGATGATTGATGAACTGTTTTTTTGCAGTAAAAAAAAAAAAGGAAGAATTGATAATAACAGATGAATTTATATTTATAATTTCATACACATATATAGACTTACACCTATAGTTGGTGTATTTCTATGTTTACTCGGTAAATTGGGCTAATGATTAATATCTGTTTGTTTGCTTGTGTTTTGTTAGTTCGTTGTGTGCTTTTCCTGAACTGTTATGATAATCTATTTTGAATAGAGGAAAGAAAAAGTAGTCATTGTTAGACATAATTTCAGTATTGCTTATAAGTACCAGCATACCCTTTCTTCTTTGTATGTTTTGGGGGCATTCGTTGTGCTTTTAATTTCTTTTTCTTTAATTCTTCTCTTGGGATTTTTGTGGTGCTTCTTTATTGAATTCTTCATTGTTTATAGTGGAAGCGTTGTTTTGTTTGACTGTTGATGTTGTTGTGTTCTGTTTCACCACTATTTGTTTTTGTTTCTATTCTATGGGATCTTTTTTTACTTTATTCTCTCTGTTCCCTTTTTCTTTAAGAAAGTGAAGTAAAGCAACCAAGAATTATTCTTGCTGTGATGATGCGACCAGTTGTGTGTTTGCTGGTTTTTCTGTTGAGTGTTGTCTCGGTATGCGTGGGAGGCGACGCAAACCGTGCTGAGGAAACTCATGTTGAAGCTGGTACTTCGGATTGTCCTTCTGGCACTCCTCCTACTCCTGGCATATGTACTTCTCCTCCTGGTCCTGCCGGTCCAAAAGGTTCTCAAGGTTCTGGTAAAGCTTCTTGTCCTGATGGAGAGGGAAGTGACGATAATTGTCTTTCGAAGAGTGCTGATACGTCTTGTTCTTCTAATCCTTCTGATTCTGCTGCTGGTGGTACTTGTGTTCATGCTGCTGCAAAAAAGCCGAATGATGAAGAACCCGTAACTGGTGTTGGTCCATCTGGCGAAAGAGGTGAACAGGGTCCTGCCGGTGCTCCAGGTGAAAGAGGTACAGTTGGCAGTGGGCAGGTGTCGGATACTCATACTGGTGATGGTCCTGATTCTTCTTCTGCTCATCCTAATGTATCTCCGCCATCTGAATCTACTACTGTTGAGAGTGGGGATACATCTCCAACTGACTCTCAACCTGAACAACGTGGCGGCAATACAACAGAAGAGAGTGGAGCTAACCGGGGAGGTGATGCTGCACAACCCAATTCTTCTTCACCCAACAATTCAGCAACAGGGAGTGAAGGAGGAACTGCTGCTGGAAATGATACTACAACGGCTGCGAATGACACTACACCTACAGAGAGTGAATCACCAAGTACCCAAGAAGGTGTTGCAGATAATACAGATCCCACTACCACAACCTCAACCACCACCACAACAACAACACTTCCTCCTGAGCTTACAAACAACAAGAAGAGTGATGCAGACAGCAGCAGCAGTATCAGCAGTTCTGTGTGGGTGCGTGTACCACTACTGATTGTGGTTACACTGGCCTGTATTCTTGTGTGCTGATTGTAATGGTTGTGGTGGTGTGACTCAGGTCATCCTTTGTTTTCTTTTCTTTTCTTTTTTTGCATACATTCCCTACAGTCTAACTAATCTTCCACCTGTTGGGATTTCTCTTCTTTTTTTGTTTCTTAATATTATTGTGTTTTGTGTGTGTTTTTACTCTCTCTATGTTTATCCTATAATTATTATTATTGCTACTCCATTGTGTGTGTTTTCTTTAAGTCTCTCTTTGTGTCTGGGCTTCCACTGTAATGATGATGATCTGCTTTTTGCAGTAAGAAAAGGAAATAATAATAAGAGATGAATTTATATTTATAATTGTGTATACACACATATATAGACTTACACCCATAGTTGGTGTATATTTCTGTGTTTACTGGATAAATTGGGGTAATGGTTAATATCTGTTTTTCTTTCTTTGCTTCTGGTTCCCTCTGTTTTTCTTTGCAGAGAAAAGAAATTTATTAATTGATATATGTGTATTGTTAATTGCATACACACACCAGCATATCTAGAGTTTTGGGTTATTTTTGTGTGATTGGTTCTTCTCTCAATTTTTCTTGTTTCTTTTTCCTTCTGTGGGCGCTGTGTGCTTTGTCATTCACTGTGCTGTTGGATTGTTTTGTGCGGAAAAACAATAATAAGGAATACACATATATATTTATAATTGTGTACATGGTTCGACCGAAAGTTGAAAATGTTTTGTATTTCTTTGTTTTGTGCTTCTGATAATCGTTCTCTCACTTCTTTTTTGGGTTTTGAGGGGTTAATTGGGATTATCTTTTTTTCCGTGCTGGGCATTGTGTTCTTTGTTGGGCTCTTTAATGTTTTTGCGCGTTGTCTTCTCTTGTGATTTTCCTAAGGTTTGTTTTTTTATCTTTTCTCCATTTTTGCTTGTGTTCTGTGTGTGTATCTATTTTATTTGGTTATTTAATTCTTTTTTCTAAAGTTTGGTTACATTGAACTAAACAAGTAACCGTTTTCCATGATGTTGCTGCGACGACTGTTGTATCTTACGGCACTATTTTTGAGTGTTACCTGCGTGTGTCTGGCGTCTGAAGAGACTAAAGAGAACCAAGATCCTCGCTCACCTGGTGGTGGCTGTGAAGGCAGTACTGGTTCCACTTGTGAAAGTAACCCTGGCGTGGCTGAAGCTGCTCGTACTGCTTGTCCGGATCGTACTGGCGGGGAGAAGTGCACTGCCAGGTAGGATAGTGACGAAAGTGAAGGCGATTGCCTTAAAGCTTCTGAAACTTCTTGTCCAAAATCACCAGAACCAAAGGAACCAGCCCCAACTTCACCAAAGGAAGAAATTCCTGAAGGCGATCGCGGTCCTACTGGTCCTGTTGATGCTGCTGGTGGTCCTGGTGCTGAAGGTACTGGTGTTGCTCTTCCTGCGACTGCTACTGCTGTTTCACCCAGTTCTGTTCCGGGAACAAGTCAAGGTACGAAACCTGTTCAAGGCGAAGCTGATCGCGGTGCTTCAGCTCCTGGTGAGACAACTGATGGCCCGACTACAGTTGAAGATCAAGCTGAAAGCACCGATAACAGTACAGCAGGTGGAAGTGCAACAAACGAGGAGAGTGCAGCACCACAATCATCTTCTTCTACCACTACAGTCACAGAGAGTACCAGTGGATCTGACACTTCCACTGAGAAAGGCAGTACATCTGAAGGAACTGAGTCAACAAGCACCCAAAACACTGATGTGGGAAATACAGACAATACAGGTACAACCACCACCACAACAACAACAACAACACTTCCTCCTGAACTCACAAACAACAAGAAGGGTGATGCAGACAGCAGCAGCAGTATCAGCAGTTCTGTNAGCAGTTCTGTGTGGGTGCGTGTACCACTACTGATTGTGGTTACACTGGCCTGTATTCTTGTGTGCTGATTGTAATGGTGGTGGTGGTGTGACTCGGGTCATCCTTTGTTTTCTTTACTTTTTCTTGCTTGCATCCCCACTACAGTCTAACTAATCTTTCCACCTGTTGGGATTATCTCTTCTATTTTTTGTTTCTTCATGTTAATGTGTGTTTTGTGTTTGCTTTTGCACTCTGTGTGTTTATCCTATAATTATTATTATTGCTACTCCATTGTGTGTGTGTGTGTGTGTTCTTGGAGACTCTCTATGTGTGTGTGCACCTGGGCTTGCACTGTGATGATGAACTGATTTTTTGCAGTGGGAAAAAGGAAATAATAATAACGGATGAATTTATATTTATAATTGCGTATATACACATATAGACTTACACCCATAGTGGGTGTGTATTTCTTTGTGTTTACTGGGTAAAGTGAGCTAATGGTTAATATCTTTTTGTTTGCTTGATGATTTTGCTTGGGTGGTTCAGCCTTTTTTGAGATATTTGTGAGTGTGGGCTTTTTTTTTTTTTTTTTTTACTCTTACTGAGTTTATTGCGCTGTATTGCATTCTTTAACTGGTGTGTGCTTTCTTTCACGATGTGAGTTTCCATAGTGGTAATCGATGTTTGTGTGTCCTAACG